TTACAAAACTAACGGAACTAAACTTCAGTTTCAAAACAACTCAATGATCTTTAATACAAAATAGACAAGAAAAATGCAAAAAGGGTGAAGACTGTTTGAAGTTCTCAGCAACTACTTTCCAAGTTTATTGTCTTTTTTCTTTTAAATTCTTTATTTTAGTTTTCTTCTTTTTTTTAACTAAAAAGCCATCATAAACAAATTTTTTTCAACTGAATCATAGTTCTTAAAAATTGTGTAACCTCAATTCTTAGTTTTCTTTTTCTTCTAACTTCATTAATTAGCACTTCTGAGTGCACTTTCGATTTTCAGCAATTAAGCTCGTCCAAAAGTAAATATCTTTTCCTGATTGCCACTTTCAGCAACAGGAATGAGAAGTATGAAACTGAATAAAAATTCATAGTTGCAATTTTCAGAAAAGATGGTTGAGAAAAATAAGAAACAAATTAATTGAATTTTCAAAAAAAAAACAAAACAGGCTGAAGTAAGAAATTTTTTTTCTAGAATCAGATTGCATGTCTCAGCAGTTTGTTGATCAAAACACTTCAAAGTTAATTAAAGCTGGTTAAAAATACAAAAAATGCTTCTAAAAAAATGAGCAACTAATATAAAAAATCATAATGTAAAAAGATAATGGCCAATAAAAGGAAGAATTTTTAACTTTTGTTTTGGAAAACGGTGAAGATAAAATTGTTCTAATTGTTGTCTATAAAGTACCTCAAATGAATAATTGTAAGTTTCTGGATCAATTACAAGCTTATCTGTTCGAGTTGAGAAGGCAAATTGGAGGTATGCACATTGTAAAAAGAGACATGAATAATTGTGTGTCGAGAAATTGAAGCACTTTTTCGTAATGAAGACAAACTTTTGCTGAAAAACATAATCTTGAATTTTAAGATAACCGGAACCTTGCGTAGAACCATCAAACTTTGCTGAAATTCAATTTTGCGTTGTGGCAGACCACTTAAAATTTTGAGTTGAAAAAGGATACTGAGGGTGTGAATGATTGCTTTTCACTGCTCCTAATAGGTATCCAATCTACTTGTAAAAAATTCATTCCTAAGCTCCCAATCAAGACAAATGGGAAAATTTTGGGCAACAGCTTAAAAATGAGAGTAAAAAAAGAACAAATTGAACAAAAATACGTAAGCAATAGAAGTGATTGTAATCTTGATTAGTTCCAGGATTAACGAAAAAAATTGAAAAGTTTGTCGAAGATCAAAAATTTTTTTTCTGTGAAAGAATACTTGTAAGCAAGAGCCATAAAAAAACGAAAACTTTTATAAAGTCAAAGTGAGGGTATAGAAAAAGAACAAGTGAGATCATAAGACGGCAGGCATTCCAAATACAGAAAAATTTAACGACTTTTAAATGAAAATTGGTCAGAAGTTAATCTAAAGTATTACAAAACAACAGTATTTAGAAAATGTTGTAGAGACTGAAAAAATGTAATTATTTTTGAAACCATTTTAACCCAAGAAGTTCATGAAGTAGTCATTTACTAAAAAAATAAACAGCCTTGATAATTACAACCAAAGTAACAATCTAATAGAAAAATAAATCCGATTATGTCTGGGCTACTGAGTTGCCTTTTCATCCAATTTGTGGAGTTGTCATATTATCCTTCAATTTCTAAGGTTCCAAAAATCAATCAACTCGAAATAAAGGCACACGCAAGTCAGTACCGATTCCGAAAAAAAGCTCAGTTGGTGCTACTTTTGAACTCAGTGAAGAAATAGTGGAGAACTTAAAAAACAATATTGGCTCCGTGTGTACGCTGATCGACAATATTGAATAAAATTTTTTACCCGAAACGTGCCTTTTATACGGTTTACGAAGTCTTTTAAGATCTTAATATAAAAATCGTAAACAGTACGTCGATAACAATTTAATATCAGACACTGAAACAACCTATTTTGGTTTAACACAAGACTCAGTCCTGGGTCCGTTGTTGTTTTTGCAGTTTATAAATGACTTGCTAGACGTCCGTAGGCATAAAAAAATTGTACTGTTTGCTGATGATTGCTCATTGTATGCAAAAACTAAAGCAGGAAATCAGCAGCAGGTAAACTAAAATACAAGCACTTTGAAAAATAGGTTGTTTTGAGAATTAAGCTTGCCATAAACAAGGATGAAACAGCCACAAAAGAATTTAACCGGAAGAAATTTTCTAAAAACAGATCACATAAGTACTTCGTCTAATTTTTGATGATAAACTATTTTTAAAAACACAGATTGATAAAACTTTGAAAAGGGCAGTCAAATATTGCTCGATAATCTATCAATTTAGATTTTATTGTAATGCACATGCTCTGCTCACAATATAAAAACAGTACATTCAACCAATATATCTTTTTTGTGTACTGATCTATCGCACAGCTTATAAGACACGCTTAAAAAAGTAGAAAGCCTGCAAAGAACCGTGTAGAGGAACTGCTTTTAAATTGAAAATTGGGAAATTCTGAAATATGTTCAGGACAAATATAAACTCTTTTACATGTATATGAGTTTTTTGAACTCATGTTTAAAGTTATAGGAAAACCTTGTTAAAAAATTCATAAATACATAAGGAACAGGAGATAACAGATTCTATCAAAAAAGGAAATAAAAGAAAAAAGCTTCGCAGATGAAACAAGCTACGAGGTCTTTTAAGATCTTAATATAAAAATCGTAAACAGTACTTCGATAACAATTTAATATCAGACACTGAAACAACCTATTTTGGTTTAACACAAGACTCAGTCCTGGGTCCGTTGTTGTTTCTGCAGTTTATAAATGACTTGCTAGACATATATGAAAATTGTATGAATAGCTTTTTTTGATAGCGACACAAAAATTTTGAAATTGCCCCAAATTTGTTTTTTCTTATTTTTCTTCAACTGAAAAACCAATTTTGAACCCAAACAACTTTTTTCCAAGAAATAAATTTTTTTGCATGCAAAATTTGGTGTATGCTCCTGGATTCCAGAGACAAGTCTTTGAACATGTTAAAGATTTGTCGGAACGATCAAAGAAAACGAAAGAACAAATCAAGAACAAAGGGAGCGTCCTTGTTTAGGAATCAGTTTTTTTCCGCAAAATGCACAGGTTGGCCTCGTAATGTTTTCTCTTAATAACTGTTTTCGAATTTCTCTTAATAACTGTTTTTGTTCAATTTTTTTTATAAAAAAACTCAAATTCTAAAAATAATCAAATGTCATTATTTTGCCGAAATGGAAAACTTTGTGAAAGACAGCTTGAAGGCAATTCAGGTCGTTTTCAATGCATTGTAAATGCAAGACCGTACAATCTTTCCAGCCGAGCTTAATTGTAAATGTACCATTGCATAGAAAGAATAGTTTTGGCTTGAAAATAAAATCATTATTATGATTATTTTTTATCATTTGACATTTTAAAATTTCTTTGGATCTTTTTAACTGTTCTCTCCCAATTTCAATTTTCAGAAATACTTTTTTGGTTGCCAATTTTTCAATAGCTTAAACCAAATTTCGGAAAAACATATGAAATTAGAGTGTTTTATTTAGCTACTAAACAAATAAGGAGTAATACAAACACGAACGCGCAAAAATGAGAACCCAAATTATTTTTGAAATTTTTGAAATTCTTATTTTAGACAGAAATGATACCTGCATAAGGGCCGAGATAATTCACAAGGCCCAGTTTTTCAAGCTCATCAAATATAAATGTATGCAACCAAAAAATTGTCAAAAAAATCCATGAGTCAAATTCTTCCTTCGTTTATGTGCTTAATTTATCAACTGACATCAAATTTTTTGGACTGGTTACTTCAAAATATAAGAATTTATTCTAACAAAAGTTTTATTCAATTTTAAATTTTCTATCAACATAATTTATAAAAAAAATTTGCGTACCCGGCTTGACCTCCATACACTGAAAAGGTTTTCATACAAGTCCATACATCAAGTGTATGAAAAAATGCTTGCTCTAGAAATTTCGTACAATTTTGAAAATTGGTTGAAAAAAGATAAAAACTATTTTCTACGGCTGCTTGATTATAGTAAAATAGTCTTGTGATAAAAAAACGGAGGTTTTTGTTTTTTGAAAAAAATGCTTCTCATACAATTCACATTTATGAAAATTGTATGACTAGCTTTTTTTGATAGCGACACAAAAATTTTGAAATTGCCCCAAATTTGTTTTTTCTTATTTTTCTTCAACTGAAAAACCAATTTTGAACCCAAACAACTTTTTTCCAAAAAAAAATTTTTTTTTGCATGCAAAATTTGGTGTATGCTCCTGGATTCCAGAGACAAGTCTTTAAACATGTTAAAGTTTTGTCGGAACGATCAAAGAAAACGAAAGAACAAATCAAGAACAAAGGGAGCGTCCTTGTTTAGGAATCAGTTTTTTTCCGCAAAATGCAAAGGTTGGCCTCGTAATGTTTTCTCTTAATAACTGTTTTTGATCAATTTCTTTTTATAAAAAAAACTCAAATTCTAAAAATAATCAAATTTCAAAAATTTTGCCGAAATAGAAAAATTTGTGAAAGACAGCTTGAAGGCAATTCAGGTCGTTTTCAATGCATTGTAAATGCAAGACCGTACAATCTTCCGTGCTTTGAATAAACCAAGGATTTTGTCAGTTGCCTTTGGTTGCGAACACAACCTAATTTTTTTCAGAAATTAAACTTAGAAAAAATAATTAAAATTTTGATTTGTGGAAAAACACTAGTCGTACAGTTTCCATAGAACGAAAAAAGCTTATCACAGAGATTTTAGACAGTTTTTCGTAGGTATGTAATTGTATGGAATGATAGAATATTTGGTCAATCCGGGTTGTCAGCAAAAGTTTTTAAAATTAAAACCATCCTGCTTGCTTGACCTCGCAGAGCGATTTGGAGACATAAGTACGGTTTGCTATATTAATCCTTATGTTCTTTAATTAGTACTTAACCTGTAAGTTTTGTGCAATAATTATGTATTAGTGGATCAGTGAATCAGCAATGCTTTTATAAAACAACTTACAGTTCGGTTTTGTTTCAGAGTTCTGCTCATACTGTGTTAGCTCAACTGTCCCTTGAAAAGGAAAAACGTCTCGAATTACAGAACTTAGTCGAGACACTTACAAACGATTATCAAAACAATCTAAATGAATCGATGTCTCTTTTAGCAGAAAAAAGGATCCAGGTTTCTGCTAAGTGCGCTGAAGCTGCAAATTTTTGCCTACAGCAAACACTCGCCAAGTTCTTTCGTGTCGATGCTATAAGGTTTGCCTACCACGGAGTGCGAATGAACCCCAGCAACTCAGAATGCTTTGAAATTATGATCAGTTTGTTCCAATTGGAAATGAAAGAAGCTGAAGAAAGGATGCAACAAAGGGAGTTCGAGATGGGGCAAAACTCGAACGAAGACAATACAACAGATCTAATGACACTTGTTGACAGAGACATTGAGGCAGTTTCGGGCATTGGTGCAGACGAAAGTTTGCTCGACCACGTGTGAAAAAGTTGTTATTATTAAATAATCGATAAATTTCTTACCGAATGTCTATTGTGATGTAAAGTTTTCTTGGTTACTTCTCTCTAAATTTTCAGACAACATTTAGCCTTTTTGCATCGATATTTCAGTCAAAGGAAGACACTGTCGCAGACAAAACAGTCCAACACTTATAAATTTCCATATTATTTGTCTACGAGACAAAGTTTCCCAAATTTTCATTATTCAATTTTCTTTAAATTTAGGTTATTCATAACTGCTGAGGCATTACGATTAAGTGCTTGCTGTCGAAAGTAGACAAAATTATGGGTATTTTTCAGTCTTTCGGAGAGTTTTGTCTGGGACACAGTTGTCTGGGAAACAAATGTCTGGACATGCTTGCTTATTGTGAGAACAATGTTGCGGTTATAACGATAAGAACTATTCTCCTAATTTTGATCATGATCTCATTCAGCTGTTTTCACATTCTGCTACTCTTTAAAATATGTAATCAATCGTTTCCTATTATTTTTTTTGAAAAAAACTGACTTGTATTGAAAAGTCTCTCTTTTGTTAACATTAAAATTAGCTTCCAACTTTTTGTAGTCCTCAGAATTAAACCATCATCACTACTGCTACATACAACTTGCCTTTCCTTATAATGTTTTTGTCAGAAGAGCATAATTTCAATCATACTGAATTGCTACGTTGTCAAAATATTTTTTTTAACATTTTTTATCGACAAAACTGAGCTTGAAGACGATACTTCCAATCAAATGGTAACGAAATTTTAAAAAATGGAAAATCAGAAAAACACAAAAACGAAAATATTCTACAGGAAACAACAAGTTTTAAGCAACAAAACAATGAACACGACGGAACTCGCTTCAAATAAAACTACCCTAAAAATTTGAGGTCGGATTGCAGAACAACTACTCTGTAGCGATAGCTCAACTAATATAATTACAAAACGATTAAACAAGGTTCCAGAATCATTCAACGGCGAGAGATTTTGTTAAACGAAATATCAAAAAAATTTATAACCCGAGTAACTTATTGATCACATAAAGCATCACTAATTCGAACAAGCGTGGTAAAGCCGGAGGGTAGCCAATGCTGCGTAGACTTATGAAGTAGTGTTCTGTTTTAAAAACGGGCAAAATCTACATATCAAAATTTTGATGTTCTGCTTGTGATAACTAATACTTTGTCCTTAATAAGAAAGTGAAAACAGAAAGACTTATATCTTTAAATTTAGACTCATTGCTGTTAGTCTTTTCTTCAGAAGTCTAGTTGTTCACTCTCTACCAGTTATGGATAACAGTCAAGTGACCGTTAAAGTAGGCCCGCTAGGATGGCCTTGAGTACATAATAACAATACATAACAAATAATAGTAATCTAACTTTCCAAGGTTACTGTGGCAGCAGTACTACACAGTACCACGTTCCCCCGAATTCAGCAAAGTTTTAATAATACCATATAAAATTTTAAATACAATATAAGTTTTAGACTCATTTTAATGTCTATTGTTTTTAGGAAATCTCAATTTTTCTCCTTTTGTTTCTTTTTTAACTCGCACTGCAACGGCAATTTCCGCGCGGCATTCCATGGTTTTTTGAAATATTTAGCGACGTTTAACCGAATCTTCGTTTAAATAAGTGACGTTCCAATAATCCAAACTTTGAATCCGCCGGTGTTCCTTTATCCGTGTCGAACTTCGCCAATCGTGTCCTATATGCTTCGAGGGCTGCCATGTTCAAGTCAGTAATATCATCTTTACAAAAAATCAGCTTTACTGAATGTGACACTGGGCTTCCGTATCGCTTTGGCCCCTGATTTTTTGTTTGTCGGCTACTTCGCCTCACTGTCGTTTGTTCGTCCTCCTGATCCGAGATATCTGAGAAACCTGGTGGAGGTAACTCAACGATCGTATCCGCCTTTGCTGTAAGGATTTGTTCCGCTTCTTTCTGAGCACCTCTTGTCAAAACTTGTTCAGCTAGTTCATCCCATTCTCCCGGTGTCATATCTTTATTCAGGAACGTATCCAAGATTTCCTTTTCGTTTGTTTGCTTCATGGAGCGTTTAGTACCTTCCGTGGTCTTCTTTGGAGTCGACGAGGTTGGTGTGTCTTTATCGTCGTCTTTTTTATCTTTGGGTTCCGTGTTTACTGCCTTTGCAGCTTTTATTTTTCGGGCTTCTTGAGCTGTGAGCTTGGCCACACCGCCCTTTCTATTGTGCGACGAGGGTCCAGCATTATTCGGCTTTGCCCTTTTGACAGCTAAATTCAGACCACCCCCCGTCTCTGAGTCGCTTGAGGCTACTGTCGTTGGGTTACTCTGAAATTTATCTTTAGTAGTGCTGTCTTCATTTGGAACCGTACTGTACTGCCACTGATCTGGGTTATCTCTCTCGTCATCTGACTCACTCTCCACCTCTTCCTCTTCATTTGTTGTTTTCTGCTGCTTACTTCTCGGTTCTTCCCCCGTTGGGCTCCTTTTCTGATCTGATTCTTTTTCTGTAGGTGTTAAAGATACTTTTGACTTGGCTATGTCACTTTTCCTTTATGCTGCACCTGCAGTTGTTTTCACGGTCTATGGTGTTTTGGCTATTAATTTGCCTTTTAGCGGGTTTGTCAGGGCCTTTCCACTCTTTCTCTCTTCGTGTTTTTGAAGAAAATTGCCTGACATGGGTCCAGTGTTGTTGTTCCGTTTGTCTTCTATAAATCCTTACTCCCATGAATACAATAACTCCCTTCTGAGCTCCCTTCTGTGGCGTTCCATCTTGCATTTGCCTCTAGTAACTGTTTCAGTTCTTTCGCCCGTGCTCGTTCTTTGGCAGCGATTGTATTCCGTTGAAACAGTGGGCTTACGTCCCGGCTGTTCTGCCCTTTCCTGACGATTTTCACATTGTCCCTCGATTGATCAATTCGTTTTTTCAGTTGGGGAGCTGTTAGTGCAGAGCGTTCCAGATGCTCTTTATCAAAGCGAGTGCAGCTTCTACACACCTCGCACCAGATTGACGATGTCCGTATGCATGTGAGGCCACCACAATTAGTTTGATACATCTAACATTGCCTACTGGCCGGGATGGCCCTGATGAATTCTCAGTAGAACTGCGTGCCTTAACTTTTCCGGCACTGCTAGGCGATTGTCGACTGGAATACAATCGTCCACCACCGACAGCTGATGCCAGAGTGGATTATTATATGGTCCCATAAGTTCAAACCGTGCCGGTCATTTCGTTCCACTACCCTTCTTAGCCTGTCCATCCACGTGTCCTCTGGCAGGAGTTCCGCGAGTAGGCTTTTGTCAAATAGCTTAGTTAAGCTCAATGGTCCATTTTGTGCATGCAGCTGTTCCGCCAATTGAAATTCGTTTTTTTTTCTGAACCTGTGTCCAACCCTTCTTGCTTTTGGTGTTAAAAAACTGACTTCTGGGCTGATTTCCCTGTCTTCCGTGCTCTCTCCTGTGAGATCCACTTCGACTATTTTTTTTCACTCTCTGTTTTCGTCCTTTCTATCACTCTCCAATATTGCGTTTGGGCTTCACATTGATGAACTTGCTTCTAGTTTAAGCATGGATCTTGGATAGTCCTCTCTTTCGGCTCCAACTAATTCTCAGAATGAAACAAGTGCTTGTCTTGTTGATACAACTCATGTTGATGGTCCGCTTATAACAGTGTTTGCCTTTATGTAGCGATCCATTGCGCTCGTTTCGATGTTAGGAATGTCGTCTTAGTCCGAATGTTCCGAATCTGACTCATTGGGGGTTCGTTGATTGTCCTTGTCCGTTGAAATGGTGACTCAGTGACTTTCTCAGTCAAAGTTTCTACACTGTTCCGTTCTTGTACTTACTGTTTTCCGTTCTTTTCGCGCTATTTTGATTATCGTCGCTCGTCTTCATTTCAATGTTTTTTCTGAGTGCTGCTTCGCTTTTATAATCTTTGAATTTGCTATAAATTTTTGAAATTTCTTAAACTGACTGTATTGAATCACAATTCTGAGATAAATTGAATTCTGGCTTTGCACTGTTTTCTCGTTGAAACGATCGCGAACTTTTTTCGCTTTCGTTCCGGTCGTGCCTTGCTCTTTTTTGTCCATTTTGGTTGCCATAGCAACCGTAGGATGACGTGTTTTGCTTTGAAAAATTTGGTTCAAATTTGGAATGTTCTAGAATGTTTTCATTCGGTTGAGCCCGTCGTGATCATTTAATTGACTGTTTAAACAGTCGAGAACTTTATGAAAACTTTCTATAGTTGTGACTACAATTTTTTCATCTAACTCCGACTCTGGCCACGGTTCGCCGTTTGGTTCTCTAGAAAGATAGTCAACTATGCCCATATCTGTCCCCGGTATATGAACAACCGGTATATATAAATTTTGAAATTTCTTCAACCGACTGTATTGAATCACAATTCTGAGATAAACTGAATTCTGCCTTTGCACTGTTTTCTCGTTGAAACGATCGCGAACTTTTTTGCTTTGGTTCCGGTCGTGCCTCGTTCTTTTTTGTCCATTTTGGTTGCCATAGCAACAGCAGAATGACGTGTTACGCTTTGAAAAATTTGGTTCAAATTTTGAATGTTCTAGAATGTTTTCGTTCCTGTTGAGCCCGTCGTGATCATTTAATCGACTGTTTAAACAGTCGAGAACTTTATGAAAACTTTCTATAGTTGTGACTACAATTTTTTTCATTTAACTCCGACTCTGGCCACGGTTCGCCGTTTGGTTCTCTAGAAAGATAGTCAACTATGCCATATCTTTCACCGGTATATGAACAACCTTGAATTCATATGGCAGTAATCTATCTACCCATCTAGTCTATCGGGATTGATAGGTTTTATTTGACCTATTTTCTCTGGCTTCCGTGCTCTCTCCTGTGAGATCCACTTCGACAACTTTGTTTCCTCCTCTGTTTTTGTCCTTTCTATCACTCTCCAAATTGCGTTTGGGCTTCGCATTGATGAATTTGCTTCTAGTTCGAGCATGGATTTCGGATTGTCCTCTCTTTCGGCTCAAACTAACTCTCAGAATGAAACAAGTGCTTGTCCTGTTGATACAACTGATGTTGATGGTCCGCTTTTAACAGTGTTTGCCTTTATGTAGCGATCCATTGCGCTCCTTTCGATGTGAGGAATGTCGTCTGAGTCCAAATTTTCCAAATCTGACTTTTTGGAGGTTCGTTGATTGTCCTTGTCCGTTGAAATGGTGACTCAGTGACTTTCTCAGTCAAAGTTTCTACAGTGTTCCGTTCTTGTACTTTCACTGTTTTCCGTTCTTTTCGCGCTATTTTGATTATCGTCGCTTGTCTTCATTTCGCTGTTTTTTCTGAGTGCTGCTTCGCTTTTATAACCTTTGAATTTGCTATAAATTTTTGAAATTTCTTAAACCGACTGTATTGAATCACAATTCTGAGATAAATTGAATTCTGGCTTTGCACTGTTTTCTCGTTGAAACGATCGCGAACTTTTTTCGCTTTCGTTCCGGTCGTGCCTTGCTCTTTTTTGTCCATTTTGGTTGCCATAGCAACCGTAGGATGACGTGTTTTGCTTTGAAAAATTTGGTTCAAATTTGGAATGTTCTAGAATTTTTTCGTTCGGTTGAGCCCGTCGTGATCATTTAATTGACTGTTTAA